TTGCCATTGATTTTTGCGTCTGTTGTAAATAATTGATGGAAAATAAGCATATGATAAAAAATTACTAAGAAAAAGAATATTAAATCGACTCTATTGGCTTAATTAATAAAATCATAACAATATCTACCTTAAATTTTCTATCATCCCACTTTTTTAACCATTCTTTATCAGCTATCTTATTCCAATGTTTTGCTTCTTCAAACATTGTAGCGAGTAAATTACGTTCTTTCAATAAAATATACCAGAGTTTATGTAAATCATCAAAAGATTTTACGCGTAATTCTGAAGCTGTCCATGATCGACCTTATCAACAATAAAATGTAAAAATTTGTTGAACGAAATTTTTAAAACGATGAACAGAAATTGAAAAAAAAAATTAAGAGTCCCATCATGTTATCTCCCTTAAAATAATTACCCGTAATCATATCTTTAACATTGGGTAACGGATTAGGATCATGAATACCACCCTGAAAAAATTCATATAAACCTTTAACATTAGAGCTATTTGTAGCCTTCCAATTTGCTAAAGTCTTGGAAATTATAGGCGAAGTATGAAATGAACGGAATATGTATTTGTTCATTTTTGATGATCTTCGGTTTTTAAAACCTTTTATATAATTACCACGTGATGCATATCTCAAAAATACTGTATATACTGTATATCGATATTGGTTATTTTTGAGATATAGGTATTGTAATGAATTAATACTGTAATAACAAAAAAATTATTTATCATTTTTAAATTTTAATATATCTATATATATATATAAATAAAAGTTATAACTAAAAATATTCAAATTAAATTTAAAGTATACCAGTGGTGCAAATTTAAAAATTAAAATAAAAAATTTCTATTATTAAATTTAGTTAAATATTAATAATCTTTAAAAAATAAAATTATAAACATTTTTTAATATTTTAAAAATTTTTTTAATACTACCTAAAATCAAATTCAATAAAATTTTTACAATATTTGAATTTTACAGGTCTATAAAATTAAAGAAGATTGCTAACTTGCCTTTCTGGTTAACATAATCATCCTTTTATTATAACTCAAAAAACGGCTTAAATTACTATGTTTGATGCACTAAGTAAAAAATGTTTAGCACTATAAAAAAACTTTATTTTGTCCTTAATTTTAACCCTAATTCTAATTTAAACCCTACTTTCAATATTAATTCTAATTTTAATTTTAAAAATTTATAATAAATTATGGATGGTAAAAATTTATAATTTTAGTTAGGTTAAAATTGGTTATAAACAAAAATTCTTATTGTTATTGAATTTTATTAAGTACAATCGTACCTGGGTTATATTATCTCTTTTTTCGGAAATATCTAAGTTGGGATATAACTCAACACGTATATTAAAAAAAAAAATTTATTCTGCTCTTAATATGGGGATATAACTGAGGTAACGAATAAGAGGTTATAAACCCAGTGAAGATATAACTCAGGTATGGCTGTAATTATCAAAAAATCATCATTTAAATTTTAAATATCCTGTAGCTATCTCTATAGCTTATTTTTTAAATAAATATTTCTCAATATCTAATTAAATTTGATAATATTTTCATTGATTAAGCTTAAAAATATGACTACTACCCTTTTTTTAGGATATTTAATCTTTATTTAACCTTTTAAGTGAATATTTCTCGATAACTACTAAACAAATTCGATATCGAATTTGATCAGGTATTCTGAGATTTTGAAAAGGATCATCACATAACAATTAATTAAAGTCAAGAGTCTGCGCGCATTTTTGTGCGGCACCTATGTTTGATCTAACGTAATGTCCCTCGACAATAAATAAGAAGGATTTCAACCTTTTATTTCGGTATTTACACACATCAATTTGTACAGTTTTTTAAATGTTTTTTTGACCAAAATCAAATGGTTCATAAGTTATAACCCAAAAATTGTTAAAAAAAAAAACATTAAGGTACAAAATAAATATGAGAACAAATATATAATTATTAAAAAAATTAGATTATTATGAATTATTGTTTTCTATAGTTTCTGTTGCATTTTCTTCCTCTTCTGATTCGATGTCAGGCAAAGGAAAATTAAGAATTGCAGCTACCCCCGTGAGTTGATTAAGTTCTAAAAAAAAAAATTGAGTTAATGATTAACGAATTTAAATAAATTCATGTAACACCTTGGCTTACGTTCTCCTGAAACGTGTAGGCTTGAAAATGTTAGCACTTTGCCACCACTTGAACGAACTGATTCGACAAGACGAATATATTTTCTACGAGTTGGAATATCTGCAGACCTTTAAAAATTAAAAATAATTAATAAACTTGAAGTTTATTTGCCTTCACGTTAAATTGTGCCTTCATTATACCTAAATAATCCGTCAGAAAGAAGTAACGTTCCGATAGCACCCCTTTCTTCTGCTTTTCTCACATGATCCCATCCATAGAAGGCTCTGTCAGGATCTTCATTAAGCATCTTGAAAAACTTATCTAGAGCGACAATTTCCTTTGCGAACTTTGTGTTTGCTAACTGGCTTTGTACAGCTGAGTCTTGTAATACTTCTTGAAGTGAATGTTTATGACCTGACGAGCAATGAATAAGGATAAATTTTGATTTATTTTCCAATAATGGTCTAATATCTTGTTTCTAATCACCACATAATAAAATAAGGACATGCAAATATAACATTAATAACTGTCTAAACATAAATATAATGAAAACTTAAATACCAATGCCTCTGCAAATATATATTCGCGAAGTTGATCCTTATTACATGAGAAATTATGTTAATAATTATTTTACTTGATGAGGTTCTTTAAACTTTTAAAATCTTACCTTAACAAATCCAGGGCTCGCCAAAATGACAACCTTGACTATTTCGAAGTTTATATGCCGTAAAATCGCTTGTAACACTTGATCATAGAATTTTTGCAAGCCCTTAATGTCACAAAAAAAAAGATCAATAACAATAGAAAGGAAATTTGATTTATGCTGAATATTCAATTACAAATTAAAACCTTTTCATAATTTGTCACAAATCCCTTGCGTTTACGTGGAACTGGGTGTTCAATTCTTTGTCTCACTATAGTCATGTGCTGTGTAACTAAGCATAAATTCGCTAGACCTGAATTAATAAATATGATAAATATGATGATAGAATAGAGAATTACTAAGTACAAGACTAATCTGAGTATAGACTAACCCTCCTGAAGCACGACTGCAGCAACATCAGCTTGTTTGGTGATATCGCATGCTTCATCAATACGTTCAAGTGCGATAATATCCCATTCTGATTTAAATAGCGTAAAATTTCGATGTAACTCAAGATCAATCGTATGATACATTCCCATCTGAGATATTATTATAAATCATGTTTTAGATAACATATAATGTTTATGTAAAACATCAGAAATTTACAAATATAGAAATTATACTTTGACATATTTATTTTCGACCATATTACGTCCCCTAATTCTCAATAGACCACCTTGCGGATCAAAATCTATATCATCCACTGTTATGGTTAAAGTCAGTCTAATTCGCTGTGACTCTACCGAACCAGTACTACTTTCATTTTGAACACGCCTATATATATAAATAGATAACACTCGGTCTTAATTGAAAAATTTTAAGTTTGGGGACAAAGGAATCTTGATATTTACCGTATTGTCGTGGCTTTCAAACTATCACCTACTGAAATTAGATTATACACATGCCACATGTCCTCGAGTTCTTCGGGATAAAGCTCAACGGTTCCCTATATTTAAGTGATACAAATCAATTTTAATAACCACGTACAGAGCAATAATTATCTTTCATGAAACTTACCGATCGATCTTTATCAATT